ATTGTTCATGGGACTGGAAATTCAGAAATTAGTAAGACCTTACATTTTAGTGACAGATGATAAAAATAAAACCCAAACAAATATGTAACAAATGTCAAATATGTGCTTTGAAGAGAAATACATAGTATGGTTTGTGTACTAAGCTGTCCCTTAGAGTGGCACTTGGCTCACTAGCTAACACTGTAAAAGTATTAGCTATTTTATTAGTAATTTAGATATGATTGGTGGGAAGGACAGACAGTGAAAAAACAAGAGAATGCAGTGGTGATGTGACTTGGAGTGAATTTGGAGGCCAGGGACACCCTCTCTGAGCTGATGGCGTTTGAGCTGAGAACTATTTAGCTGTTTGAAGATCTCTGGAGAAGGGTGGGGACAGGCTGGGAAGAACAGTGCTGGTGGTGAATAGGCAGAGTGCAGAGGCCCTGGCAGGGCCTTTTGTATAGGACTAGAGAGCCTCAGTAGTTGGAGCAGAGTGGATGCAGGAGACTTTGTAGGACCCACAGTCCAAGAGGTGGCTGGAGGCCTGTTATGCAGGGCTTTGGACACCAGGGTAAGATGGGTAGCTTCTCTCTCTGTGCAGTGGGAGGCTACTGGAGAGTTTTAGGCCACATTTAAACCAGGATGGCTGCTGGACAGGGGTTGAGCTTGCGGGGGAGGGATGGCAAGAACAGAGGGTGGGTGGGACACCCATGAGGAGGCAGGTGAAGGTGTCCAGTTGAGGGCAGTGGAAGACGAGAGGTGAGTAGATTGAAAGTGCTGTGCAGGTGGGGTGGTGGGACTTCATGGTGGGTGATTTTTGAGGGGTGAGGCGGGACAGAGACAGGAGGAGCTGGGCATTGGCCCCTCTGCCCGCATGGGGTGGCAGAGTTCTGCGTTGGACCCAGTAAATGTCAGACGTGACCCTCATCGAAGCCCAGGGCACCAGGAAGGCGTGTGGTGGGGTGGGGTGAGGAGGGGAGACTTCTGGAGAGCAAGGGACCCGAACTAAAAGTGGGAGGGTGGGTGGAGGGAGGGGTGCTATTAGGACTGCAGAGTAAGGAGAGATGTATATTTTGGCAGGGTTAGTCTGTGACATGCTTTGTTCCTGCCTACACTTTGCAAGGAAATGCTGAAGACTGCATTTTAGTGATTAGATTTTGACTTAGATTTTAGATCACCTGAATTATTGTGTCACTGACTTGCATGATAGGTGAAGTTAATTCATCTTTACTTTCTGTTTTTCTTTGTCTTGTTTGAGAAGAGATACAGATTTTTATTAGGTTATTTTAGAGAAATTATGAATTTTGCAGGCCCAGAAACCACTACTGTTAAAACTAAATTTACCCATGTCCTCTAACATTACTGTCTCTCTCCCTCAAAACCTGAGGAACCAGGATCACCTGAATGGTGCTTCCACCAAGATGTACAAATGCTTTCACTCTTTAGCAGGATGCTTATTAAATAGACTAAATTTGGGACTACTTTGCCTATTTATATTACTTCAGTTGTGTATTTAATTTTTTGGTAGATAATGCATTCATGTGGTTCAAGTAGCAAAATGCATAAAGTCTCCCTCCTGACCATTTACCTAGTTCCTCCAACTCCATCCCCTAAACAGGTAAGCTGCTGTTTCTTTCTTCTTCCCACACTGTTGGGCTTCTTGCTATTTTCAGCAAATAGTACAAGATCTTAAAGATCTTTCTATATCCATATATAAAGACCTTCCTCATTTTTAAATCTTCCACTGTATGAGTATACCAGGATTTATGTAATTAGTCACTTATTGATGGTTATTCAGATTGTTTACAGTTTTTCACAACTACAAAATGCTGCAGTGAATAGCCTTGTTCATACATATGTGATATTGCATGTGGATAAGTATGACTGTAGGATAAATTGATAAGTGCAATTACTAGGTCCAAGGAAATGTGCTTTTATAATTTTGATAAACGCTCCCAAGTTGTCTGTCACAGATGTTGTACCGGTGTATAGTCCCCTTTCCCACATTGATTTGCCAGTCTTGCCAAGATTTAAAATAGTATCCCTGAACAGTTTTATTTTGTATTTTCTTATGAGGTTGATAATCTCTTTACATGTTGAAGGACCTTTTTTTCTTTTATGTGCATTTTCATTGTCTTTACCCACTTTTTCTATTGAGATGCTGGTCTTTTCCTATCAATGTATAGGAGTACTTACTAGATTAGGGATATTAGCTTTTTGTATGAAATAAAATACAAATACTTAGTTTTTTTTTTTTTTTAAAGATGACCGGTAAGGGGATCTTAACCCTTGGCTTGGTGTTGTCAGCACCACACTCACCCAGTGAGTCAACCGGCCATCCCTATATGGGATCCGAACCCGGGGCCTTGGTGTTATCAGCACCGCACTCTCCTGAGTGAGCCACGGGCCGGCCCCACAAATACTTAGTTTTTATTTGCCTTTTGATTTTGCTTGTAGTACTTTTTTATGTGAAAGTTTTTTTTTTTTTCCTTTTTGTCTTTTTTCGTGGCCGGCAACGGATCACAACCCTCAGTGTCGCGCCCGCACCGGACCGGGACCGGCAACGGGATTGCAACCCTCGGCGTTGCCCCTGCACCTCGCTCAGCCAGTGAGCGGCCGGTCTGTATGTGGGATCCGAACCCTCTGCGGGAGCGCCACCGCGCTTCCCAAGCGGCGCACTAATACAGTGCGCCACCGGGCCGGCCCTATGTGAAAGTTTTTGATAGATTTTTTTAGTAGATGAATTTATCAGTCTTTTTAAAAATGTCTTTTGTTTTAAAATTTTACTGTTTTCATTGTGGATGTTTATGAGGTACAGCTTGTTTCAACACATGCGTGTATTGTGTAATGATCTAGTCAGAATAGTTAGCATATCTATCACCTAAACATCATTTTTTTGTGGTTATAACATTGAAGACCCTCTTTTCTGGCTATCTTCAAATATTATCAGCTATAAATGTCTTTAGATTTTTGATAATAGCTATAAAGGCCTTTCCTCTACCAAGATTTTCTTTTAATATTGTATTATTTCATTTTTTTTTTTCCTTTTTGTCTTTTTTCGTGACCGGCAACGGATTGCAACCCTCAGTGTCGCGCCCGTACCGGACCGGGACCGGCAACGGGATCGCAACCCTTGGTGTTGCGCCCGCACCTTGCTCAGCCAGTGAGTGGCCGGTCTGTATGTGGGATCCGAACCCTCGGTGGGAGCGCCGCTGCGCTCCCAAGCAGTGCACTGTAGCAGTGCGCCACCGGGCCGGCCTTATTTCAATTTTGATGTTTGTTTAATCAATTGGGATTCATGTTGGTATACAGGTTACAGTGTGGATCTCCTCTCACTTTTGTTCAAGATGATGCTAGTGGTCCCAAAGACAGAGTGCTGTGGTGGCTGTGACTGTTTTCCCTTTTCTTCCTTGCCCTGTTCCCTGCACCCTCACCGCCCATATCCACGGTAAACCTTTTCACTTCAATTTTTGCTCCTTAAACACACATTCAAACATGTAGAACTTACTTCTAGTAGTGTTTTTACTGCTTATAGTTCTCTGAACACACTGCTGTTCTTTCTTCATGACTTTTTTCTAGGTCCTTTTTTGTCCCCTCTAACTTAAATGCTCTCCCTTTCCCCTTCAGGGGATTCACAAAACCCCTCCTCTAGCCTTTGATCTTCTTGCCCCATCCACCATCCCCCAGTCTGCTGGTGAGATACACTTTGTTTCTATAACCTGTGATGTATGTTACACTTAATGCATTCTTCTGCAATTATCTGTCTATATATGGGTCTTACGCCACTGTTCAGAAAATATGGCTTGTGATCTAGCCCCTAGCACAGTGTTTGGAATATTGTGTTTTTTTTTAATGAATGTTCTTATGGGAAAATGTTTTGAGTTCCAAGTAGCTGAATTATTTTTGTTTGTGGACCCAGTGTGGGATGCATGTATTTCCTTCATTGCAGCTTCATGACTGAGATTGATATGAATATTGTTTGACAATTTTGAATATAATCCATTATTGTTAGAAATATTTTATTTTTTGTTGTTTTTTGGCAGCTGGCTGGTATCCAACTGAGCTAACTGGCCAGCCCTATTGTGAGAAATATTTTACATCATAGTGTTGATCAGCTATTTTATAGGTTGTAGAAGAAATAGAATATGTATTTAGATTTTGCTTTTATATGAAGTGACAGTTTGTTGTGGTAGTTAATATGCTTCATTTGGCTATCATACTTTTATTATATTGTTTTATTTAACAAGTTATTACATAAACTTGTCAATATATTTAATGCTTTACCGTTAACTCTTGCTACTATTACTTCGGTTATAAACAATCTGTTCTTTAGTTCTTAAATCATTCCCTCAGATGTCCTCTGGTAAATATGACTCACAATTAATTAATAATAATATTCAATCTTTTTAGCTGTCACAGTGGTACTTTGAAAAAACATACCCATAATCTTTGCCTCAGGGTTTCTATGAGTTGATCTCTAAGTTTAGATGAGCACATTGCTTGACAATGAGGATGTTTTCTTGGTAACTTGAGAACTCCTAAAGGGTGGATAATCAAGCCAGTATTCATCACTGTGTTGTTGGCATATGTTTAAATAAAAGAATGTCTGTTTTTCTGGTTCCCTAGAGCACTAAGCTTCTGACTAAAGCAGTTTAATATGTTTTCTGTTTATACCTAAACTTGTAGCTATATTTCATTTTAATGCTTAAGCTATAGTGAAGACTCCTTTCTCAGCTTAGATAAAAGTTATAGCAGGCCTTTTCTTACAGTTGAATTAATTTGAGTTATATCAATAAATTTCTCAGAAGTAAAATTGGAGAAAAATATTTGGAGGATTTTTATCCTTTTAGCTGCTAATAGAAAAGTGTAATATGTGAACCTTTAAAAACATTTAAGATTAGAGTAAATACAAAATTCAATAAAAGAAGTGCTTTTATGTGTAAGACATGCCTAGAAAGTAGATAAGGCCATATCTGTTCTACTATGTTTCTATTTACCAAACTTTTCCCTTTTTTCCTTAGGGTCTTGGTTATTACAGACCACTTTCTGAAAAGCCCGGAATTGGTGCGAGCCATGTATGCCAAACTGAGCAATCAGGAAAGGTAACCCTAAAAACCAGTGTGGTTTTGAGTATTTAGCATTCCATATAGAGTATCCTGTACACGTGACTGAAAAGCTGTGTGGTTTGTTAGTTGGCACAGAATCTCTAAATGCATGTTTCTGTGTCAGTAATGGTTTTAAATTGGTTGGTTAACATTACAGCTTAGCCACAACAGGCAGTGATTTACATAGGGTTGCAGAATCCAGGTTGGCACCATTATGCAGTAAAGGCATATTTTTAAAAAGTAAAGAACAAAATGTTGTGCTTGTGCTTGGATTTTGTAATAGTAATTTATGAAATTATGTATTACAGCTGCATATTTGAGATGTGCTCGTTTCCTCATGTTGCTGGTGTGATTATTTAGGTTATACTCTACTGGGTTTGTAGTTTTCTGTTAGGTAATTCAGACTCAAAGAAATTTGGTACCTGCCCACGATTTCACAGCTGTTGGAGCGGGAAGAGCTGTTGGCTCAGTGGTGTGAACCTTGGCCTGTGCCTCGTGATAGTAATTCTCTACTGACCGTAGCCAGGTCTTTTCACCTTCTTTGCATTCAGTTTCTTGACATGAGAAATAAGGGGACTGAATAAAATAATTTGCTTTCTACTTTCCAGTTCAATAGCATGTATTTTTCTAAACTTTATTGGAAATGTTGCCTTAGGAAAATAACAAAATTTACTTCAGAGATCATAGGTCTAATGATCAAAAACTTTAAAAATGTTAAGCTTTTGATTTTAGTTGCAATGTTTATAATTACAATGGTTTTGGAGTTCTTAGGTATTTAGGTTCCAACAGTTAATCTTCTTGCACTCCTTTGTAGTCTTTTGTTAAGTAATTTTCTTCTTTAATATCTTTAACAAAAAAGAAAACTTATGCTTTTATTTTATTTATTTATTTTTGACCAGTAAGAGGATCACAGCCCTCGGCAGGGTGTTGTCTGCACTACGCTCAGCCAGTGAGCGCACCAGCCATCCCTATATAGGATCCGAACCCGCAGCCTTGGCACTACCAGTGCCGCACTCTCCCGAGTGAGCCATAGGGCCGGCCCAGAAAACTTATGCTTTTAAAGTCAGTTTAAATACCACATTTATAAATCTAGTGCCCCCTTCATACCATATGAATACCTCTGTTGCAGAAAAAGAATTATTTGTAGTTTTTGACTTAAAATAAATTACATGATGTATGGTGCAAAAAATTAGTAATTGCTTTGCAGGAAGGAACACCTGAATCCAAGAAGAATGCATATTTCTTTCTTTCTTTCTTTCTTTCTTTTTTTTATTTCCTTTTTGTCTTTTTTCATGTCCGGCAACGGATCGCAACCCTCAGTGTCGTGCCCGTACCGGACCGGCAACGGGATCGCAGCCCTCGGTGTTGCTCCCACACCTCGCTCAGCCAGTGAGCGGGAACCGGTCTGTATGTGGGATCTGAACCCTCGGCGGGAGCGCCACCACGCTCCCAAGCGGCGCACTGTAGCGGTGCACCACTGGGCCGGCCCTTTCTTTTTTTTCCTTTTCAGATGACCGGTAAGGGGATCTTAACCCTTGACTCGGCGTTGTCAGCACCATGCTCACCCAGTGAGCTAACCGGCCCTCCCTATATGGGATCCGAACCCGTGGAACCCGTGGCCTTGGTGTTATTAGCACCACACTCTCCCGAGTGAGCCACGGGCCGGCCCAAGAATGCATATTTCAAATTTATATTTTAATTATAAATAAATAAAACTATATTTAATTATATATTTTAATATTCAAATTTATATTTTCCATATTCCTACCAAATGATCTATTTTTTTTTTTTTTTCCTTTTTTTTGTCTTTTTTCGTGTCCGGCAACGGATCGCAACCCTCAGTGTCGCACCCGTACCGGACCGGGACCGGGATCGCAA